CTAAAGGACTCATCCTATTGTAGAGACACTTGTACAACCATGTTTGTTGCTGCTTTTTTTCACAATAGGTAAGAGATGGAAGCAACTTAAGTGACCCTCAACTGATGAGTGGTTAACGAAAATATGGTACAGTCACACAATGGAGTTCTACTCAGCATGAAATTTGCAGGTAAATGGATGGATCTAGAAACTGTTATACTAAGTGAAGTAACACAGACTCAGAAAAACAAATGATCTATGTTCTCCCTCGTATGTGGCTCCTAGCACCAAATTCTTGTTTTTCTTTTTGGTCTTTTTGAGACAGGGTCTCCCTATAGCCCCAGCTCTCCTGGAACTCACTATGTAGACCAGGCTGGCCTTGAACTCACAGAGTCCCTTCATTTTTTTTTTTTTTATTTTGAGATAGCACCTCACTTATTTGTCAAGCTGGTCTGGAACTCACTTTCTGGATGAGGCTGGCCTGGATCTTGCAGTGATCCTTCTGCTTTAGCCTCCTAAGTAGCTGAGATTACCAGACTGCATCCCTAGGCCTGTGCAACTTTTTTTTTTTTTTCAAATTTTAAGATAGCGCCTCCCTACAAACAGAGTGGAACTCACTATGTGGACCAGACTGGCCTTGATCTCACAGAGATCCACCTGCCTCTGCCTCCCAAGTCTGGACCTAAACGTGTGCACCACCACACCCAGCTTATAGTGCAATCATGATTCAGGTGAAAGTCAAAAGTAGAGAGGAAGAAATGTCTGCCCATTTTCCAGGACAGAATGCTACAGATTCTGAAGACTGCAGAGAATCTGGGAGAACTTGACACCAGGAGCCAACAGATTGACAAGCTTTCTATTAGGGAATCAGAGTCACAATCTGGCTACAGAAACCTAAGTGTGGCTGAGATCAACTATGTGGCCTTGGTCAGTCTACACAGGAAGCTCAAAGCCTAAAAGGAAACAAAGGGAGAATATGTGTCTTCCTGCTGGTCTGGTACCATCAATACTCTGCTGCCCATAGCAAGACCACTGAACTGACGTTGGCTTAGGGGGAGTGATGTACAAAAGAAGTCCAATAGAGCACCTTCCCTGTAGAAACTTCACTGGACCTATTGCTGCCTTGAATCAAAGTGTCACCTAGCAATGTAATCCTCATTGCCTTTTTGGAAATAGGAGGCTCTCAGGACCGTCTGGGGGAAGGATGCTTAGCGTGTGATCAGTGAGGCCCAGCTTCAGGAAACAGAAAGCCAACGGACCTCACTTTCCCCGACTCAGCATAGCTGACGAGTCTGGGAACCTTCCGCAGAGTCTAATTCCTTCTAACTTGGTGATAAAAATATGGCAAGTTGGGATACAGAACGTTTCATGCATTTTAATGTCTTAATATTTGTGAATTTGCAATGAAATATGAACTCTGTGGTGTTAGCACCCTCACAGGCCGAATGCCTTGGCCATCCGTTCCTCTCTGAACTTCTATACATCTCTTTTCACTTCAGCATTTAACTGTAACTGCCACGTTCGTGCTGGTGGCACAGATTCAAGTCCCTTCTGAAAGTCACTTCCAGGCCTGATGTGGTACATCTGAAATGACGTCCCTTCTCAACTTCTTAAATGCCAGGGGCTGTTCAGATGTCTGTTTCTGAATCATACAATCCCATTTCCTAATCTCATTTCCAGTTTCATTTTTCACATCAGCTAACCTAGCCTGAAGTCGGGTCCCTAGAACAGCATTTTTTTTGCCCTAAATGTCTCGCTCTCCCCTATCCATCATGGCCAAAGCGTTCCATCACACTATTTTATCACACATTATAATTCTGCCTTCACACTGCCACCTACTCTATTTAATTAAATAATTTGTTGACACACTCAGATTTCCGTTTACTCTAGCACAGGAGTTTCGGCCAAGATAACAACATCCAGGCCTGCAGGAGCTGCCTCTGACAAGACGCCTCACTGGGGAATGCTTGACTGAGCTCGCACACAGAGTTGACCACCTTAGCTTCCTCTCTTCTCTCCTCCCTTTCTTCACAGCGTGTAGATGATTATCTATTCTCAACTCTTCCCATCTATTCTTGTTTTCAAATTCTTTGCCCCATTGAACCTAATTATAAGTCTCTATAGACTTTAGCAAAATCCCAAACCTACTGCTCCCATTAAAAAACTAACAGGCATCCCAGCACTTGGGAGGCAGAGGTAGGGGGATCTCTGTGAGTTCAAGGCCAGCCTGGTCTACATAGTGAGTTCCAGGACAGCTGGGGCTACAGGGAGACCCTGCTTCAAAAAGAAAGAAAAAAAAAATAATAATAACAGAGCCGGGTGTGGTGGCACATGCCTTTAATCCCAGAACTTGGGAGGTAGAGGCAGGCAGATCTCTGTGAGTTCAAGGCCAGCCTGGTCTACAGAGCAAGTTCCAGGAGCTACAGGGAGACCGTCTCAAAAAGAGCAAAAAAAAAAAAAAATTAATAGAATTGGCCTTGAGAGATGGCTCAGTGGTTAAGGACACTGACTGTTCTTGCAGAAGACCTGGGTTTGAATCCCAGAACACACATGGCAGCTAACAACTATCTGTAACTCCAGTTCCAGGGGCTCTGACAGCCTCTTCTGTCCTCCACTGGCATTGCACGACACAGGTGCATTTACCTACATGTAGGCATAACACTCGTACACACAAAATAAAAATAATAAATAATAAATATTTTTAAAATTAACAGAATTGTCAGTTCTTAAGCACTTGAGTGAGTTCGACTCTTGAGGTACTGGCTACGTGCTAACTGTGCCTCCGGCACATGGCAGGCACTGTGGATGTGAGGCATCAGTGGCAGTTGCCTTACGTTACAGATGATAAAAGATGGGAAGATGAACCTGTTTATTCCTGGTCAGACAGGCAGGACTGAAGGTAAGAACAGGATCCACTCAGTTTGACTGGAGGTAGAGTACACTTCAAAGGAACTTTCTATGACAACCAAAATAGTCCACATCTACACTGCGCATCACAAATGGACCCACGGGCCATCAGCTTTTGGAAGATATGCAAGCAAGAAACTGAATTTTTCATTTAATAGTATATGTGTGGGTATGTATGTGTGTGAGAGAGAGAGAGGGAGAGAGAGATAAAGAGAGAGGGAGAGAAGAGGTCAAAGACAACCATGGTGTCATCTCTGGGTGCTGTCAATCTTGTTTTGTTTTGAGACAGGGGCCCTCACTGGCCTGGAGCTCACCAGGCTAGGCTCCGTGGTCAGCAAGCCCTGGGGCACCACCTGCCTCTGCCTCCCCAGCACTGGGATTCCAAGCGTGTCACCAGGCCCAGTGTTTCTTACATGGACTCTGGGGATCAAACTCAGGTCCTCACAACTGCCAGGCGAGCACCAACTGAGCCACCTCTCCAGACCAGTTTCATGTAATTTTAATCAGTCTTTACTTTTTTCGTTAGCATGCAAAATGGGCTTCATTATGACATCTTCAGATAGTTGTGATGACACAGCTTGTGACCTGCGGGTGGTCTCCTGGCTACACCCCACTTCTGTAGCACAATATGGGGTGAAGAAAAAGGATCAGTCTGAGTAAAGAAATCTGCTGTGACTTTGTCTCAGAGATGCTGGTGGTTAAACAGGATGCTCTAGAAAACAGTCAACCCTTCAGGTAACAAAAACTCTCAATGGGAGTTAAGAATAAACTAGTCTGGATCTGTGCGGCACAGGGTGGCACCTCCCATTACTGACTTCTCATCAAGCTCCTCACATCTGACTATTCAAGGTCCGAGTTCACTTCCTCTCTCTTCCCTGATGCTCTTGAGAGAAAAAGATGAAGTTCTGGAATTCAACCTTTCAAGAGTAGAGTTTAAATACTGTGCTTCCTGTTAAGCCCTGTGAACTCCTAGACAACCAGAGACAAATCTAAGATCAGGGAAGGGAGTTGCCTGAGGTAGGCACGGGTTGAATTGTTTTTCCTGGAAAGACACGCTCATTTCAGACAGGGTACCTACAACAGGCCAGGTTAATGAGTCAGTGTGTTTGCTTGGCTTACTTACAGGAGCGCAGGTGATGCAGGTGATGTCACGCCACAAAGTTCCATCCATCATGGATGATAACCTCATAAGAGCTGCATGGATAGAGCACTTCCACTAGTCACTCTTCTACTTCCATATGCTCCAGCACCCTCCTGCCAAGACCACATGGAGCTAGTGTCCAGGACAGTGGTGGGTGGAATCATAGGTGAGCAACTAGTGACTCTGCCTCCCCTAGACTAGGGAGTGCGCCCATTACCAGAGACCCCACATTTTGTTTATTTTGTTGTCATGACTTTGGAGCCAAGGTTATCTTTAAGGAGAGAAAGCTATGGGTGGGGGGCAGCATAACAGTAATGTCAATACAGTAAGAAGATGCATCGAACGTCTCTCAGTCTTACAAGGAGCTTTGGTATCTATTACGTTATAGCTTTGTCCTTACAACTGTGTAAAGTGGGAATCATTGATTTCATTTTGCAGACAGAAACTTGAAGGTATCAGGAGGCTGAGGGGCTTGTCCAAGGTCACATGTCAAGGAAATGGCACATTTGGACGCCTGTCTTATCAGTCTAGACCCAAAGTCTCTGCTTTTCTCTCACCATCACCCTCCTATTACCGCTGCCTCTGCAAAGTACCTGATGTCTAGCCAACCAACTCCAGCCTCTAGTCGGGGCTTTGGTATCTGTCACTAAGGTAACATGCTAAAGCCAGAAGCCATGGACGTGATTACCCGGGAGGCACTCTATGGGGCCGCAGGGATCTCAGAGCGCCAGCTGCTGGGCATGGCGCTGATCTCCCACGGGCCGCTGGGGTGCACGCGTGTCGTGCACCGCGTTGCTGAGTCTTATTGTGCTGAGTCTT